AGATTTCTGTTTTTTTTTTAAACAGACAAACAGTGTCGTTATGTTTGACAAGAAATTGTGAAAACAGCGGCAAAATCGATTAACATTCATGAATATGTCGAGTAACACGTTGTTGGTATCAGTCAAATGCTATCATTTCGTTTTTAATATTAAATAAGATTATCTTTCTTTTTTTTTCTTCATTTGATTAAAAATATTCGCAACTATCATATCTATTTGATTAATATAGAAAAAGAAATTAGAAATTGATTGTAATTGTTTCATTATTTTGAGGTTTTTATTATCTAAAATACTAAGAAGAACAATAAGAACACTTGTGTATTTATATTTATATATTCCTTATCAACATTGTAGACATAGACATTGATATTTTCTTAATGATTTATTCAATATTTCTCATTAATTATATGATCATAATCAAAAACATGTGGAGTAACGATGAAAAATTGAATAAATGATTATTGATTTTTGTTTTAAGAACGATTATTCTCTTGAGAATATCTGTGAAATACATTTGTTTTAATATCAAAAATCAAATTGAGATGAAATAATTTTGGTTATTTCGTTATCAATAAATAAAAATAATAATGATCGTCCATTGTGAAGTAACAATTAGCAGATGGATTAGGGAAAACTGGTTTCTAATTACAAAACGCTTTAATAGGACATAGTTTCCTGCTTCATCAACAGGATTTTATTACAAAAATTTTTTTTTTGAAAGAAAATAAATACAACTTTGTATTAATAGAAATGACGATATAATTCAATAGTTGATAAGATGCTGACCAAAAAAAAAATTATTGTAATGTTTTGCTAATCGTATTACAGTGTTTATCTAATGACAAATAACTTGTCTCATATCGGTTCATTCAATGAAAAAATTCGTTGATTTTGAAATTAAAGTTTTTATTTTGTAGAGACTTGTTCATATTATTGTCAAGCTGTTTCATTGTAGCCATGTTGAACGCATAATCTTTCTTTAATTCACCAGTTACTACGTAGAGGATGGCCCAAAAGTCACTGGATAATTTTCAATTGCGAATAAGTTCTAAGAGTAATAAGAGAATGAGCTGCAATTTTCACTGTTGAAAAGATTAGACGTGAGCGGCATCAAATCATATAAGAAGCATAATATTTAAAAACATTTTTAGACGGATTCTAAAAGACTAGGGTTTCAAGAAAACCAATATTTTCAAAGTTTCTATAACATTTTTTAATTCTGAGCATATCAATTTGTTTAATCTTGGTTTTTCAAAGTCTCGCAACCAAAAATTATGAATATTATGCTTTTTATATAGTTAGATTTCCCCAAATCTCAGCCCCATATTTGCATACCTACGCTGACACTCTTAGTTTATTTATTTCTATCTAAGGTAAGATTTTTCAGTAAAATTCTGGTAATGCTCAAAAAGAAATGCGCCAATGAAAACGGAAAAAGTTGTTAGTCGAATGGAAACAAAATTTTTGTCGATCAAACGAAAAGATATCGTAATATATAGTGCATGTAGGTCTTCTTTGCACTTATTCACACTGTCTCTGTTTCTACTACGGATACCACATGTTTGTTCGCACTGCTGCCGGTATACCGGCAGTATATCGCCGGTTAGAGAGCAACTATCGGTACACTACGGTAGAACTGAAGTTAGAAGATAGTCAACCATTTGAATGTCAACCAACTGTCAGTTTATTATCAGTATATCGACGGGTTACCGATGAATTTTTGCAGGTTTGACTCGTATGGAAAGATGCTCAAAGTATGAACCAATTCAATTGAGAATAATTCGAAAAAATGATGAGCGTATTTTTGAATTGAAATTCAATTTATGTAAGTTAGAAGATACTATATTTACAGAACTATTCTGTACTATTTGTTTCTGACTATGTCCAAAAATAAAGAAGATGTCGCTAGCTATCGATGAAAATCGTCTCTTGTCAATCGAGACACGTTAACTGCACTTCACATTGGTAAATCTGTTAACCCATCGACAAATGCTATCTATTTCACTTGGATCTTTTCGATCTTTTCTTAGTCTGCTCATGAAAACTAGAAAATAGAAATTTGCGTGTAATATTTTTGTCACTTTAATCCTATAATAAAAACTAAGGTAATCGAATGTTCATTAAATAAATAAAACGCTTTGTTCTTATATTCGAGTTTTGATTTATGTCAAAAATTTTTAATTCGTGTGATATATTTCAGGATTTTATTAAAACGATATTGTATAGAAATGTTATAAGAATACAGTATGCACTTACTAAAACTTCAAAATAGAGATTTCGAATGAAAATATTTTGTAAACATGTGTACAGAGAATTATTTGAAATGAATTTGCAAGTTGACTGGTTTATTAATGAAACGACAAAATTCATTCTAGATAATGGAGTGTCGAAGAAAATGATGTGTAATCGAAAAATACATCAAAATGCAAAATATTCTCAAAAAATTCTTTATTGTTACCGGTGTCTTCTTTCTTGTCAATGTGTTTCTATTATTAAGTCTTAGACATTTTCATTCATCAACAAATAAACATGGACCGGTTTGTTTGTCGATATTTTTTTTGTAACATGTCATTTATTGAGACGTTTTTTTCTTTAGAATCCACCTTTGGATAGACCGATTAATCCAAAATTTCAGGTACTTATTACTTCTGCAATCTCACCATCTACTCTATTCCAATTACCGGTAAATATTTAAGTATTTTGTAGAAAAATTGAATATATTTTGCCAATATAGAAAACCGATGTCGTTCTACCTGTTGTTGTTTTTGGTTGTAATCGACCACATGCTCTTCAAATACATGTTGAAGCTCTTCTTGGGTGTGTAGAAGAAAGAAAAAACGATGTTCTTAATATGATAAAACAAAATTTTATCTATTTAGAATTCGTAAAAATCCAGAATTACATCCAATTATAGTTAGTTTAGATTGTCATGATGATGCAACTATTCAAGTTGCTAAAAATTTCGGTGACAAAATCCAAGCAATTATCGAAGTACATATTTTTTTCGTTTTCAATCTAACATAGTAATGAGTAATTGAAAAACAATTTGACAAAATATTCATTCGTTTTTCAGTCTTTTAAAAAAGCATGTAGAAATTTGAAAACATTGAGTTAGAATTTTAATTCTGTATTCTTTTCGAATATAGGATCGAAGTTTTTCTAGGACTTTTAATTTAAGAGTTATGAACTGACGTTTTAGAAACGTGAAAATTAAGTTTCGACGCTGAAAACTGACGTCTTTTACAAACATGATCTTCTTTATTAGGTAAGTTAAATTATCGATTTGTTTTTGCATAGAATTAAAGGTGAGATTCTTCTCTACCAAGTGATATAAGAATCAAGAATTTCAGAACAATCATTCAGATATAGCTGAGATCCTTTTACAAGTCTATTTTCCATAGAAATTCAAAAAAAATTGCTTAACGAGGGAAAGTTCCCATCTGATACGCATAATTTATCATTGTGTTTTGTCCGTATGTGGGAGACATAATCCTAAGAAAAATCCTCAGATTATTTGGGCTGATGGGACTTCCTTCGAAGATTATGGCCACTTTATTGACTTTTTCTACCTAACACAAAGTACATATAGAAAAATCGAATAATAGAATTTCAATCTAAAGTATTACTCAGATGCAGTTCTCATAGTCATTACGAGACGCTAAAGGTTTTAGTGGAAAAAAAAATGTTTTTTTTTTAGAGATAAGAATTCTTAAAAACTTGTCTCATAATTTATAAAGTCCGGAAATATTTACCTTTTTTAGCGATTCAACATCATGACAAGAGAGAACATTTTTTCACTGAAACTTTGAGGATATTCTAATGACCGCGAGAGCTATATATGAGCAATAATTCAGATTGAAATTCTATTGTTCTATTTTTCTGTGTGCACCTTATGTAAGGTGGAGAAATCAGTAAAATGGCCATAACCTTCGAAGAACTTCTCATCAGGACCAAATGCTCTTAAGATTTTTCGCAGAACAATATCTCCAGCCTATGAACAAAATATCATTGAAAATGGCGTGAATTAGTTGGAAACCTTTTCTCGTAAGTTAACACGCTATCTTCTGATACAGTTCATACCGTTACAGGTGACTTGTCGCAAATTAATCGTTAGCATATTAAGTTAGAGAAATATTTGCTCTCTTATTCGTTGTGTTTATAATGATTTCCGCTTCTATTTTTGGGTAATTCTTAGTGCAC